TAATTGATATTTTTACTCTACATTAGTGATGTAACGATGTGACACATTTTACTAATTGATATTTTTACTCTACATTAGTGATGTAACAATGTAAAACATTTTATCAGTTGATATTTTTACTCTATATTAGTGATGTAACAATGTAATAAAATTTTATCAGTTGATATTTTTACTCTACATTAGTGATGTAACAGTATAAAAACATTTTACTAATTGATATTTTTACTCTACATTAGTGATGTAACAATGTGACACATTTTACTAATTGATATTTTTACTCTACATTAGTGATGTAACAATGTGACACATTTTACTAATTGATATTTTTACTCTACATTAGTGATGTAACAAATAAAGCAAGCTATTTTATCAGTTGATATTTTTAATTTATGCAATGTAATTATACAAAATCTAAGTTTATAAATTAATTTTTGAAAAGACTGATTGTTTACAACATGATCATCTGGATCAAAGTTTAGACCAAGCAACAGTTCTCAATCTGTGGTCAACAAACCATAAAAAATTTGAGTACCATTGAACTAAGACACCAGATTTACTGCAAATTGCTAGTTTTTGAGTAACAAATATAAGACATTTTCTACAAACTTAAAAACTGGAATAAATGAAGAGACAGGATTAACATCTTTTGCTCCGAGTTTACCTTGTCTTAAGCATTCATAATGCTAATATAAAAACTATAAACAACACAATTTTAATAATCCTTGTATTACTATTTCTTGTTTATTTATATAAACATACACAGTAACCAAGATTCCTTTATACAATTACATTATATTGATTCTTACCCTGAGTTAATGTGAGGTAACACTTGTCAGTCAAGGGTGTGTGAACCAGTTTGGGAGCATTTCCTTGGTATTCAAAAGTGTATTCAAATTCTGCATCTACCATCCTTGCAACAGCAACACCATCCTCTCTCATGTAAAACCTAACAAAAATAATTTACTTAATTATTTTTAAGAAAGAGCAGCCATTCTATTTCCCATTTATAAACAATTACAAAAACTTCATATTAAACCAATAAATAAAGCTGAATGCAATGGCGATATACTTTCATGAACCTCTAGTCCAAAATAAACTAGCACTGTTTAAGTTAAAACTAGGATACAATTGATCACATAAAAACAACTAACAGGTTATATCCACTTAACCAAGAACAAAATGCCAACTTTACAAAAAATTGTTTTCCAAAAACAATTATTTAAAAACTTTATCTTACCATTTCTTTTACACTGATCACTACATACACTGTACCCTACATTCAGTGTAGCCTACATTCAATGAACCCTACATACACTATACCCTACATACACTGTACCCTACATTCAATGAACCCTACATACACTATACCCTACATTCTATGAACCCTACATATACTGTACCCTACATTCTATGAACCCTACATATACTGTACCCTACATTCAGTGTAGCCTACATTCAATGAACCCTACATTCAGTGTAGCCTACATTCAATGAATGCTATATACACTGTACCTACATTCAATGAACCCTATATACACTGTACCCTACATTCAGTGTAGCCTACAATCACTGACCCCTATACACTGTACCTACATTCAATGAACCCTACATACAGTGTAGCCTACATTCAATGAACCCTATATACACTGTACCTACATTCAATGAACCCTACATACACTGTACCTACATTCAATGAACGCTATATACACTGTACCTACATTCAATGAACCCTACATACACTGTACCTACATTCAATGAACCCTACATGCACTGTACCTACATTCAATGAACCCTACATGCACTGTACCTACATTCAATGAACCCTACATGCACTGTACCTACATTCAATGAACCCTACATGC